GGGGAGGTTGCCAAAACAAATTCCGGAGAAAAAAATTTTCGCTACTTGTCGGGCAAAATCCGGAAAAGTCGGGCAAATTTCTTTCTGCCCCCCTAAATTTTTCCTTCCGGTACGCCCATGCCCATATGAAAGTGTAATATATCCTTTTCTTTTATGTTAATAGCCTACAACAATATTTACAATAAGCATAAATTATAAGCATCTTTTCATTGTACTTCTTTCAAGTTGAAAAACCAGTAGGCCTATAACAAGAACGTTTTAAGGAAAACTTCAATTCATACCAAGATCTCAATTAAAAAAATAATTATTATTTAATATAACGTAAATTTAGAGCCAGCCAGTTTAATATATACAACACAATAATATATAGTTTCCGCTATGCATTATGAACACCGAAAATGAAAAATATAAAAGGACATTCTGTTTCATTTGATTTGCCTTTAATAATTGGCCTTTATCTTTGTTGATAACCTCTAACGATTTTCTATCCAAACACTATGTCAGTTCAACCTAAAAATCTAGGCTCAAGCTCAGATGAATCCACACATAAAAAACATTTTGCTATAACCACTAAATTATAAATATATATAGCTAGTTAACGAAAATCGGCAAAGAAAGAACATAACCTAATTATTAATAAGAAAATCGAGAAAGAAAGACTAACATATATAACTCATAAGTTGTATGACACTCTAAATCTCTATTAAAAATAAAATACTTTATATAAATTTTGTTATACTTGTGAGTTATGACTTATGTGACTAAATATCAAGTAGGCCTAAAGGTCTCTAAAGCGCAAAGAGAACGGAAATCTTCAGAAATAAAGTCCTTAGAATTTCCTTGTTCTGCCTTGTTTTTAATCAACAAAATATTAAAGGAAGTCAGAGACTAAGGTCCGAAAGTGCAACTGATAATCACTCTACTTTTTCACCGCATGATTTAATAGAAATTTTGGTATAGTGTAATTATAAAGAAACGAGTTTGATACATTGTCATTGGACATCATAGCCATACTCCCCATAGGAGGCAGAAAAGCAGCTGTACCGTTTATTGATTTTAATACATATTAAAAGACATGGCTTTGAAATGTTAAAAAAAAACAACGTTGTTAAAAAGCAACGCTACTCAATTCAAAAAGTAATTATCGCATGTCATCATTCTAGCAGCGTGTATTTTAAATTAATATTTATACACAACACCTGCTCTTTTCGCTTATTTTAAAAATCGTCATTAAAGATATCATAGCGTTTATTTTGAGACTATAGCTAGAGAATATATATATATATATATTACTTTCGCATCAGCACACGCCGCAAAGGTCTCACACGAGATTAAAAATTCACGAGTCATTATTTGACAACCGCATCCTCGAAACAGAATAGCGCAAGTTCTCAAATGTCAATTGATAAGAATTCGGCGTCAAATATCGACTTTTTTGTGTTGTTTACATTGCATGTTAATGCAAAAATCGCGTTTCGATTAAATTTTGTTGAATTTATACAGTAAGTTATAGAAAGAAAGTCAGAACAAGATCAGATGTGACGATTATCCTAGAAAATATACTGACATATCCAGCTGGGAATATGACACTGCGAAGCAAAGCGGATATATATAAGGACAAAGCCCATGTCTCTAGTTGTGGGTGATATACCTTTATATACATATATTTATATGCTTATGAATGTTCGTGAAATCTTGTCACGAATTTCATTTTATGCCATAGTCATAGAATTCTTTGTGTCACTAATACATTTTATAAAATCGAACTTGAATGTTTAAAATTGGCGATTAAACTACCTAGAAACATTTAAAATTCTTTTGACAATCAGACTGGTTCATCACAATACAACCAGCATAACCGGATTTGGACTCAGGCAAACAATAATAACTTTTTGTAAACTGATGAATCGTACAAACATTTAAAAGGCAATCTTATCCTGAATAGAAGTATTGAAGCTATATATACCTATACAATATGTATGATGTATAAACAATGCATGGTTGGCGGTTTTGTAACTATATATGCACGTGAAACTGCGAAACGAATATCAAGGCAAATTCCTTCACTTCAGAGTATAGTGTGTATATGGTATTTCCACGCTTACTATTGTCTAGGAAAGATATGTTAGATATATAAGACATAACTTACCACAAGTTGTCAGGCAAATCAACACAATGATGAGACTTTGAAGAACTATAGTCGATCCCGGTTTCTCCATGATCATCACACAATCCGACTACTTTAACCGAGGCTAAGCCTTCAAAACAGAAACGTAAATATGAACATGGATATCACAACGGGGTCTGAGTTAGTGATCTCTTTACGTCGGTTAAACGTTCACCGACTTATTTCTTACCAATCTTATGAGTTATGTGTTATATCTTTATTGCCGTCCCAGTCGCTGAGATTTATGATTTACCGAGTCACTGCACCATTGGTGACTATCAATTAATCACTGACTTATTATTGACTAACTACAAATTTTGGAACTCCAGCTATTCTATAATTTAATGCGTAAGTAGGCGTAATGCTGATGACGTCAGAGCATTCACCATGCATAGTTCCGCAAGTGATTAGAGCTTCGCAGTGAGCTGGCTCCTTCCTGGAAGGACCCGCCTGACTCGTCGAAAAGAAACAAAACTTCTTTAAACACATTTTAAGTAAGAACTTATTCCTGCACGTTTTTTGTTAGGAACAGTTGTGCCAATGCACATGTACGAATGATTTCCCCCGGCCCCTCACCCGTTCATCAAAACCACAATTAAATGAGACATTGTCGGCAAACTCGATCCTTGTCATTTCCAGTTAATGAAACTTAATGAGTAATCTATGGGGGGGAGGACAGTTTTAAATTTTTTTGTGATAACATCTCTTTTAAAGTGCAATACCGACTTATTTCTTACCAAGCTAAAGTAAAACATTAGTTTATTAAGAAGTCGTAACCGATCATTGAATTGTTTTCAATGTGATATTTATGGCAATTTCAATATTGATGCATCTATATACATTTATAAAGTATTGATTACTATAGTAATACTGTAACAAAAATATCTTTTATGCTGCATCTTCTTTACCCGGTTATATAATCAGTACAATTAAAACGGATGCTGATAACATGTATAAGGAACCGTGTCTTGTTTTATAGACCTTATTCATAAATATATATCAAATAGTTTAGCAGTTTAGCTAGATCAACTGCATCGCCGCTTTACTGGGAGATTAAAATAGTGACCGCCACAATATCTTTACTAAAACCTGGTCGCAATGATCGCCGGAATAGAGTCACGAACATTCTCAACAGCCAGTTTATAACAGTTTATACCTGTGAACCACATATATAAATCATAACTCATAAGTGCTCTCTAGTTTACATAATCACTCCGCATATTTTCAGTTCTAACTAATGTTATATTTCGGCTGATGAGAAAGATCGTGACTCAATCTTTACGCCATATGGAAACCAGGCTTAATCAGATGCACGGTCTATAGAAATGACAAACCCTTTATAGTTCAACTATTGTATATATTGTTTACTTTTACTGTATGAGTAGTAAATCCTTGACCTTTTTTAGACTGTTTAATAAATAGTTCATATTCATTTAGTTGTAGAATAAGGACAGTACGGTCAGTACCGTTCTGCAACTTCTGTTGGATTCAAGTTAAAGTACCTGCATGAATACGTGATATGTTTATGTGATATGAAGTTTTCGCGTCTATTTTCAAGGCTGTCGGAAGTAAATCAATATTGGGAGGGGAGAGAAGGCTCAATAATTTATCCGTATAGTTTGTATTGCTTTCGCACTTTTCTTGTTCTCTTGTGTGTTTTGCTAATATCCAAATGGAAATTATTGGGGGCCCTCCCCTCCCGCTTCCGACGGCCTTGATTTTTTTAATCAAGGTTCGAATCATATATGGGGTAAAGCATAGGCGTCTACAAAACAGGGGGGCTATGTGCTAAAATATGTTAAATTCAGGTTATTTCATTATAATCCTCTATAAAAATGCAGGCAAAACTTTTCAATTCCCCGTCTCCCCCCCCCCCGTCACTAGGAAAACATCAGCCCATACAAGTACGTATGGCTACAATTAAATTTTCAGTTTGGATTGAGTGGTTGAGAAATTTTTGATAAATAGATAGATAGATAGATAGATAGATCAACTTTATTTAAGCACATTGGCCTTTTCAGCAAAAGCTGATTTCCAAAAGCGATGTGTACTTACAAATTATTATTTATATACTAGCTCTAATATTACATACATAACAAATACAATTATATACCTATTTAGACAAAAAAATTAACTACTACTTTAAGTCGAGATTAAGATCGAGGAAGATAGCTTTTTACAGCCGGAACGAATTATACGATACCGAATTGCGTATCTCTTCAGGTATCTGATTCCATAGTTTAGCCCCACTATATTGGAAGCTTTTTTTTAAGGATTTCGTTTTTGGTCTTGGAATATAAAACCTTGTTGAAGAACCTCTCAGATTATGGTCATGAATGGTATTCAGATTTTGGAAAGCTTCGCATAGTCGTTGGGGGGCTACACCATTAACTGTCTTGTACATGAGCCTGGCTTTCATTTGTGCCCTACGCTCTTCAAGTGTTACCCAGCCTAGAGATTTTCGTGCCAAAATAGACTGACCATGTTCATTTTTTAAGTTCATGATCAACCTAGCCGGCCGCTCTGTTTGGAATTTCTGTAGACGTTCGCTTAGGCCTTTATTAAGTGTATCCCATACTTCACAGCAATAATCAAAATAAGGTTGGATTAAGGCATTATAAACTTTTATCAAAATGTCTTGTTCGAC